AATGAAGTTCACAATTTGTTTGATTAGCTATACATCATTGTTTGAAAATGGTTCAATGATATAGAAAGTGACTTGTCCTTCCAATTAAAACCATGTTCTTTTCATCTATGAAAAAACTCTCCCAAACAAAAGTTATTTTAATCTACACAGACAGATTAATCCACACAATCAATTTATCCATACATGACTTAGGGGCTGTTTACCAATTTTTTTATCAAGTCCTGTATGGATAAATTTGTCTGTCTAGATAAATGGATGTTGTTGTTTTTTTTTATTTATCTAAATCAACAGTCTAAATAACATAAATGACCGATTTGAACATCAAAACAAAAAATCATAAAGAGGGTGAAGATGATGTGTCTCATATGGGAAGGAGACGGTGCTTTAAATAAGGGGTAAGGATGTTATTTTAGTGGCTGAATGAGGACAACATATCATTTTTATCTGTGCGATTAAGTCATGTTCTGTGCAAATAAGCCATAAGTAAACAACCCAAATGAGCTGTGCAAATAAGTCAAATAGACCAATAAGCTTAATTAAGACGCAAGTAAACAATTTCTTAATGAACACCAACCAAACAACTCATTAATCTATATAATCAAAACTGATTCGAACCGAACATATCTCTTCTTATAAAACTTAACGTAATTCACAACAAAAATTAATAACACCTAATAAAATCGAACCGAAAAACCGTAATAAATGGTGGCATGTTAGGGGTAGAATAGTAATTTTGAAAAGACACCCCACATGAATAACGCCCAAAAAGCAATAGGGTCCTACATGGGCCGTCTATTTTTAACTATATTTAGCTGTACACACAAAAAAAACCACCTCATTATCATTCGTCCCCTTCTGTACCACTTTCTATCCTTTCCTTTTTTGGCATTGAATAACTGATCCATCTCGTTCTATCGTTATATATATATTTGAATCGAATAAAAATGTTTTTATAAAATTTTAATCTAACTCTCGAACCCCAATTTCGCTTTATAAAAATAAATACGACGGTAGGAACGTCTTATAAATTTTTTAATCTGATAAAATGTATACTTTTCAGATCATTTTCTACTGTTATAACAGCTTTTGAAATAAGTTTTCAATTTTAGTTTATTCTATGATTAGTAACCTTTTTTTTTGGTAAGTTGATTTCTTTTATTAAGATATATTTTTTAATATTCAAATATTTATTACTTATATCTCAAATTAATTGTTTATATTTTTATTTTTATTTCCAATTTAAAAAATAAATTTTCAAATCTACCGTTAATTAATAGACGTATATTTAAAAGTCGTGAAAAAAGAGGTTTTAAAAAATGATAAAATTATCATTTGGTTAATTAAAAATTGTTATAAGTGTGTATGTTTAAAGTTGTACGCCGGTTTGTACGAACGGCCTTGGCCCGGGCCCCAGTCCCCGACGGGTACGGGGATTAATATTTCGTCCCTGATTTATTTTCTGGTCAAACCCCGGTCAACCTGGTCAAACCCCAATTCCCGTTCTCGGTCAAGATCTAATTTTAGAAAATAAATAATATATATACATATATTATATAAAATATATTAATAAAATTATATACAGGTACGGGGATACGCTACTCGACCCCAACCCTGGTTTGAGTCTACCGGGGATCCCCAGCTCTGGTCCGAGGACCCGTTTTAGCAGCGAAACCCCGTCCTCCTTTGGATTGATGAGCTGTGTTCCTTTCCGGGTTAGGGCAAATCACCGTCCCTAAAAACAACTATTCGACTTTTTTTTTATTTTTTAATTATTTATTCTTTTACAAATAATAAGAAAATGAAATATTTATCAAATATTTGATTATTTTTATAATTAATTACATAAATTCAAACATAAAGCTTTAATAAGTTATAGTTATGTACAATTTATTTGTAATTTTGAACTCTAAGTAATATACATCAATAAGCAATATTTTATGTATAATAAATAGTTTTTAAGAGTTTTTCTCATTATAATTTGAAGATAAATAATTGAATTTTAAAAATCTAAAAAAAAGGAATATTATAATAAAAAAATGGTGTTAAAAAAAGACAACTAATATTGAAAATATATAAATGTTGCCTTCATGTGGTTGTTTAAAAAGTTGAAATGAGGACCAAGGGGTTGCTTTGGTTGCTCAACATAACAGATAGATAAATTCCATTTCAATAATATTATTATTTTTTAATTATTATTATTTTACATAATTTAACAACCTAATTTTATTTCTATGCAATATAATAGAAATATAAATATAAAAAATCTAAAATATACTTAGCATAATTATTGATTTCTAATAAAATATTTAATTATTATCTTTATAAAAAAATTATATTATTATATCAAAAATAAAAAAATGAGAAATTTTAAATAGTTAGTTTGGTGCTAATATCAATATACTTTTTCCAAATGTTTATGATATCTTCATATTTATACTTTATTAAAAAAATGAAAACATTATCGTTTTCTCCAAACCATATAAAACTGTATTATAACATCGACTGAGACAAAAAAAAAACGAAACATCAAAATCGAGATTTATTTTACTGTATTAAGTAAGTACCCTTCTAGTTGTTTATTAGAACACATTGTTTTGAATTTTAAGCTTACAATTTATTGTTGCATACGTAAAATGTCTTAAACCTCCACGTTTAAACCATGTATAATTAACTGATAAACACGTAAAATAAATATTAAAATCCATTAATATTGCAAATATTTTCTGAAATTTATATTAATTCTTATTTTTAATTTACATTAAAAAAAATCCAAGTGGCTGTATTGCATGAACATACACTTAGTTTTACAGCTTTTCAAAAATTATTTAAGGGAATATGATATTATTCCAAGTTAAAATAAACAAATTAATAAGAGAGTAAATTACAGTATTGGTCCCTGAGTTTGTTCAAACTCCGGATATCACCCTATTTCGAAATAATTACACCAAACGTCTTTCAGGTTTGCATTTCGTTACAAGTTGGGTCTCTGTCTCTAACGGAGTTAACTTCAGTTCGTTAACTCGGTGCAATTAGGCCAATTTATATTTGTATCCAATTTTTTTCTAAATAAGTATATAATATTTGTTACATTAGTACATACACAGAGGGGGATCTAGAATTTGTGCTGAGCGTGATGCACCTTTAAGGTGGATGAAAGACCCACAAGGTTGTTTGATGTGTTTTTAGTCGAATTTCATCATTTCGAGGGATTTTTTTTTAAGTTTTTGGTTGATTTTGATGATTTTTTCTTCTACTTTTTGGTTGATGTTCCTTGTATTTTCTAATATCTGCACGGAGGATTTACTCAAAGTTTAGTGGTGCACCTTTCATACCTCGAATTTCCTACTTGTGAAAGTAAGTTGAGTGGGTGCATAACACCTCACTCGGAGTTTCATAGGTTCGCCTTTACATACACACAAACACAACAAGTTCGTTGATAAACACCCCACCTGCATCTCCGATCACCATGTTTGAGCAGTCTCCAACTATCATCACTAGTCACTCTCCCACCTCACCTACACAACAACACACATAGTAAACACACACTCGGACTAGTGTCTTCTTCGTCTTACTCCCCCACCAACCTCCATCTCCATTTCAGGTGAAACCCTTCCCCTTTTCTGTCGTCTCCTTTCAATGTCCCCCCCCCCCCCCTTCATCCTCAAAAAGCCACTTACAGCTCTTTAAATATAAATTAGATTATCCATTTTATTTTAATTTAAATTAACTAACATATAATCAATATTTCATTTAAATAAATTATACCAAAAAATTAGAATTTCATTATCTTTAATTTAAGATCCATGATGGTATATTTAAGATTCACATATGAATCTTAAACTGATTCAGAATATTATAAATTGTACATTGATTCATTTACAAGTTATAATTATGATTTAGATGTGAAACTATGTTAGGATTTAAGTCTTCACATAAGAATTTTAAAACTGATTCAGAATCTTAGTTATAAATTTTAAATTGAATCACGTACAAATTATTGATTAAGATTCACATGTGAATCAATGAGCCAATGATGAACATCCATATTCGTATATACATATGAGATTTAATTCGATTTGTAGATTGTAAAATAAGGTGAAAATCGGATAAAAGTTGATGATTATCAATATCCATAAAATGTTGTAGAAAAAATAAGAGATAAATTAGGACATTTAATTTTTTCCATATTTATTTTAAAAATGCAAAAAGACTTGAAAATAGAAATTTTGAATTAGTGGTTGAGATTGTTTCTTACATTCTAAAATTTTAGAGGCTTCTCATTTGAACCTCTACATACATTACTTGTATATATCGAAGCCGATTAAAATGAAAACCGATTTTCGGTTGTGAACCAAGGGACAAAGAAGAGCACGACACGTATCTCACACCTTCATAGGTTATTCATCATGAATAGTGTGTCATTCATGATAAATGTGTATTATTCATCATGAATAGTGAATCAATTTAACATGGATCATAATTGTGTATTATTCATCATGAATAGTTCATGAAAATTCACCTTCGTTATTTATACTGAATCCCTTTGTTATTCGTACTGAATGCGGACGTCGAGGACATGTGTCGTGCTCTATTTTGTCGCCCAGTTCATAAATGACAATCAGTTAACTCCGTCAGAGACGGGGATCTGGTTCGTAACGGAATACAAACCACGAAGACACTAGATGTAATTATTTTGAAACATGGACCGTATCTAAATATCGATAAAATCACAGGGACCAATAGTGTAACTTAGTCTTAATAAAATAACAATGACAGCAGGGAGATTCCCACAGATAAAAAGAAAAAAAATATATTATTTTTAAACTTGCTGTTTATTATTTTTAATTTTTAATTTTTAATTTTTAATTTTTAATTTTTGGGTGTGAGATCGACAGGGAGATCCCCACCAAAATAAATTATTAAATTCAACTTACATAAAACCCTCTAGAATTCACCATTTTTATTGTTTGATTGATGCATTTTAGAGGAAATCTACTTCGATGGAAGGAGTTCCGGCAACAATAGGAAGCTCCGGCGACGACGGTTTGTCAGCTCAGGCACAACAGCAACCAGCTCAAGCTCAAGCTCAAGCTCATGTAAATGGCGGCGGTGGCGGTGGTGATGATGGTGGGTCGATTGCTGGTGAAGAAGGTGACCGGAATTCCGGTGGAAACCGGTGGCCGAAGCAAGAAACATTGGCTCTGATTAAAATCCGGTCAGATATGGATGCAGCTTTTCGTGATTCAAATCTCAAAGGCCCATTATGGGATGATGTTTCCAGGTAAATTGAGCTTGAATTCAAACAAAAAAGAAATTCAATCGCACAGTTTCCGATTCCAAATTCGAGCTGTTTTTCCGGCGAGATCTATGAATTAACTTTTCCAATGATTTTTCTTCTTTGACCAAAAAGGTCAACGCTTTTTGAATTTGACTCCATTGGAATCCAGTTTTTCTTCACATTTTCCTCTGAATTCTTGCAAGAATTTTGATGGGAAGAATCGTTTCACCCCAAATCAGAATTCGTCGACTTCTGTTTGGATTTTCTCAATTTGCTTCTTCAAACTAAGACCGGATCCATTCACTCTCCGGCGGGGCGGGATTAAATTATTAATTATTATTTAAATATATAAAAAAACTGGTTTTCGAATAATTTTGTTCTTGTTTAACGTTAATTTTCAGGTTATTTTTATGTTTATAAATTTGTGATGAATTGTTTGATGGGATCAGGAAACTATCGGAGCTCGGATTTCATCGAAGCGCCAAGAAATGCAGAGAGAAATTCGAGAACGTTTATAAATATCACCGGAGAACCAAAGAAGGCCGGACTTCGAAATCCGACAAAACTTATCGTTTTTTCGATCAATTACAAGCTCTGGAAGCAAGCCCACGTGGTGCATTTCCTCCGCCACTCGCCGCCGTGAAGCCACCGCCAATCTTCATGGGGATGTCCAATAATGCCACCACTCATCCTCTTCCGGTTACTGTTCCATCCTTTAATCTCACCGGATCCGATCAGAATAATGTCAGTCCGATTTCAGTTGCAGCACCGGCTGGGATGGTGGTGCCGCCGCTTCCGGCGATGAATCACAAACGGAGTTTTCCGTTTCCGCAGCCGAATATGTCGGGGTCCACGAATTCTGACGAATCGTATACTTCTTCCGACGAGGAGCCGCCGAGGAAGAAGCGGAAATGGCAGGAATTCTTTGGGAAGTTGATGAACGAAGTGATCGAGAAGCAAGAGGAACTGCAGATGAAGTTTCTTGATACTTTGGATAGACGGGAGAGAGATCGAGTGGCGAGGGAGGAGGCGTGGAGAGCACAAGAGATTGCGAAGATGAATCAAGAACACGAAAGGTTAGTCAAGGAGAGATCAATTGCGGCGGCGAAAGACGCTGCCGTCGTCACGTTTTTGCAGAAGATGACCGGAAAAACACCCGATGTTGGTGCTTTTCCAACCATCCAGGTCTTACACCAGCCTCAGCCTCAGCATCAGCAACAGCAACAGCAACAGCAACAGCAACACCAGCACCAACAGCAGCAGCAACAGATCCAGAAATCACCGCCACCACATCATCAAGTACTTCCACCGGTGGCAGTGGCGATACCAGTATCTGGACCACCACCACCACAGACAGCAATACCCGTGGCGCCACCAACAATACAAGCGGCTCCACAGACAATACCATCGGTGGCGCAACCGATGGTGAAAAATCTTGGTGGTGGGGGAGGAGAGAGCATGTTATTGCCGAGCCCATCAAGGTGGCCGAAAGCCGAGATAAATGCATTGATTAGTCTACGAACGCAGCTCGACATCAAGTATCAAGAAAACGTGCCGAAGGGTCCGTTGTGGGAGGACATATCGGCGGCGATGAGGAAGCTCGGCTACAACCGGAACGCTAAACGGTGCAAAGAGAAATGGGAGAACATTAATAAGTACTACAAGAAAATGAAGGAGGGCAACAAGAAGAGACCGGAAGATTCCAAAACATGCCCGTATTTCCACCAGCTCGATGCAATTTACAGTGAGAAAGCTAACAACAACTCTGAAACAAAGATGACCGCCATTGTTGCTCGACCGGAGCAACAATGGCCACCAGCAGCTACTGTTGCAGTGCAAGAGAAAGCACCAACACCACAGCAGCAACCGTCTACCGATGCTGTTTACATGGATAAATCTGCCAACAATCTGGCTTTCACTGTAAAACCCGAAACCCAGATCACTCCAGTCGCAGCTTGGCCGCAGCAACAATGGTTGCTTCCAACGGCGGTGCAAGAAACACCTCGACAACCACCGCAGCAACAACTATCCACCGCGGGTGCAGACGATCAAGGGAGCGGGAATGATGATGATTACGATGATGATGAGGATGAGGATGAGGATGAGGATGAGGATGGTGGGGATGAGATCGTTCCTAACAAGATGTCTTCAATGGCTGCTGTTTAGAGAGAGAAAAGAAGGTTTCATCTTTTCGATTGGAAACAAGAAGCAGAAGAAGTGAAATGGATGTGTCGGGTAAACGGGTCGGGTCGTGGTTTGGTTGGTGGAAATTTGAATGGGAACACATGGGGGTGTTAACTTTGGTAAGATGGGTAATAGCATTTTTTATTGGTAAAAATGATAAAAAGAATATACTTTATTTTTTAATTATATATTTCAAATAAAAGTTTTTTTTTATTAATCATCTGTTTTTCATATAATCATATTTTAAAATTTTCTGTTAATTATTATATTTGTTTATTTAATAAAAGTTGGAAAAAAAAATGATGTGATTTACATGATTATTAAAAAATAAATATTTTATTTGAATATAAAATAAAAATATATATTGTCATATTTTTTTTTATTTTTCAATTTTATGATTTATGTAATATCTGCAAAAAAATAAAATAGCTGATTTAAATGGCTGAATCTAGTAAGCAAAAGACATGATTACAATTATAATTATTTTTAGGTTTATGTTAGTTGTATTATTGAGTTTAAATAGTCTTATAAGAAGTGTCTCATGAAACAATTTTTTTAATTAATCTGGATATACAATTCGTTATGCGGGCTGACTAATTCCACTATGGTCATTAGTTTTGTAGGTAGTTCAGACTGACCGCATTTGAACCTCCGTGGCTACAAAGAAATTTTTATTCCACCTTGGATCCGAACTTGGAACCTCTAGGCACTTTTGACCTTTGAAGCCCGAACTCAAACCAATCGGACACCATCCTTGTAGTTTATGAAACAATTTTTAAGAAGTGCTTTACAAATATTTTTTTAAGAAATGTTGTATGAATATATTATATGAAACGGTTTACTTTTGATATCTATAAAGTTGACTAAAGGGTTGTTTATTTACCTTTTAATAGTTCCACTAAGAGGCAGCCTTTGAATCGTTAAAAGGTGAATCTTGTTTGGCAAAAAAAAAAGTCTGTTTCTTAATGGTTCTAAAACCCTCTTAATGATTTTGTATCATGGACCTCCCGTAACCATTCAACACCCCAATTCCATTGTAAGCAATTATCGAACAATTATATTTCATTTTGCACTATATCATGAAAACCTCTTAACCATTATGGCCACTTAATCATTCTGCACCAAACTATTCAGCAACTGTCAAACATATTGTAAAGTCTTCACATTCATTGGTCATTTGAACTTAAAAGTCGAATTAAATACTTAGCCAAATGATCGCCAAGAAAATCATGAGGCACGGCCCCCAACTAAAAGTAAGGATATCAAGAGATGTCAGAGATGATCTAAACCAAACCATGGAATTGATCTACTCCAAATTTAAAGCGATCAGGGGGACTTTCTGAGGTAAGACTTTGAACATCTGTTTGAAGTTATCGAAGAAGTTAAAGACTAGTTATCAGAATTTTAGAACACTGGTTATACAAATATTTCAATAAGGGTTATATAAGTATACTCTAGAGTATACTTGTTGAAATATCTGTATAACTAGTGTTCTAAATAAGGTCGTTTTCTAATTATGCAGTCTGAATTGTATATCGCATTCGAAAATAAGGTCTGAGAAGGATAAGATGTATGAAAAATATTCTTCTATAATTTCTTTCATACTGCCTCCATGTTCCTCTAATAAGTTGTTGACATGTCATCTTTTTTCTCTCTCCCACTATCATTTAATTTATATATGCATCCCCATTCTGTTTACACTTTCTCTACATGTCGAAATACAATTTATGTCATGGGACATCAAGATATATATATATATATATATATATATATATATATATATATCGATTGCTAAATCTGAATTGATTGCTATCTCAAGATATCCTTAGCTCCAACTTACGGATGCATATACCATACTATGGTTGCAAGTAGTGCATGAAAACGATGTTATCAACTTAAAAGAACCACATAATTTTTTTGAAGTATATAATAGTTGCATACGACAAATGAACTCAACTACCTCGAGATGGAAAAAAACCTTGCACCGACAGGGAACCCAACCCAGTCCTGGTTTGACAGGGGAATCCCGAAGTTGACTTCAGATGGGGAATCCTCAGATTTATAAACCGGGGATGGGGCTAGAATGGGGATACCCTTCACCCCTAACCCCGACGTGGAGTATTAATTGTAAATTAATATGTATGCATGCACAGAGAGTCAGACACACACACACACACACACACTAAGTATAATAATAAAGTGAGAAACCTAATGAGTATATATAATGTATAAATATAATCAGTATTCCATGCTTAAACTTGTTAAAGGAATTACATTATTGATTTAGTTGTTATGGAAAACTTGTGTTGATATAAAACGTGGTTATATAAAATTACAGTTATTAAATATTGTAATTGATATATTTGTGTTTGAACTGCATTTTTTATATTACTCTTATACAAATGCAACAATTAAAATTTGGGTGAATAATATTTTAACATTATATGTCATTTAAACGGAAAATTGGCATTTATACACATAATATATAAAAACATTAGGTAAACAATTAAATTATGTATAGATGGGGAAAAATCCCTGATTCCCCAATGAAGATGAGGATGGATATGAAATCTTATTCCCCGACTGATAAACGAAACTTCGTGGTCAACAAAGGAGAGGTATTTTCCACCGGAAATATTTGTCAAAAAATTTCAACCATCCTTTTGTGTCTTTTTTTTTTTTATTTCAAGTTCCTGGTGTGATTACTCTTAATTTTTATAGTTATTTGTCATTCTTTTTAACCCCTTTTAATACCCATTTGATCTTTCCACATTTTTTTGGTCTAAATTATTCCTAAGGATGAGAAAACACGAAAGATTCAGAATTGGTAATCTAGACAGTCATTGTGGCCACATGTGTCTGAAACCAATAATCAAAACCGTCCAAATAACCACCCCGATCCCGTTTGAGGATCTTATTGGGGATCCCCAACGGCGCCCCGTAATTTCCCTGATCACCGTTGGGAACCCGTCAAGGGTAAAAATCTCGGTTCCCCGTTGGTTTCCCTGTTCACTTGGTTATACTCGAACCCGAAACCAAAAGCGACCCGAAAATAAATTACAATATGTTAATTTTCACAACTAAAATTTCGGTTTTTAGTTTTCGCTATCAGTTTCGGTTTTTCTTGCCATCTCTATTTGTGGAAGAAGAGAATAAATAAACATAGAGACCCAAGAGAAAAGAAACATAAAGACAACCATGTAAACTCTCTTTCTTTCTCTCAAGGACCCACGGAGCATTGGTGAATGACTTTGAAGCATATTCCTCGACCTTGGAGCATCAACTAGAAAAGTTTTACATTGACTTTTTCTTAATGAAAGAGAAACTCATCAGAGCAAAAATACTATAGATGCAAGATATAAAATAGGAGTGAATGATTTCTTTTTTACCATTTTTCATCTCTATATTCCTGCATTTCATTTGATTAGAAGCTTAGAGTAATTTTATTTTCAGGTATCAGTGTGACGACGAGTGTGGCCACAATGTCGAATTTTACTTTAATGCAAGTTATCTTTAAATACTTCTTTTCTGCTATGTCTTTTCCTTTAAGCATGATCTAAACTCCACTTTGAGTGTGGGTGTAAGACAAACCTAAGAGGTCAAATATAAACCAATAAAATGTATTTACCGTCAAAGACCTTCCAGCCTAGTGGTAAACGGCTTGGGCATGGCATAGTCATGAGCCCGAGTTCGAGCCCTGGGAGAGGAGTGTTGGCGACATTTAAGTGGGACCATGTTTTGCCTCCAAAATTGCCGGGGATTAGTCGGGCTTTGGCCCGGACACCCTTCCAAAAAAAAATGTATTTACCCAACTGATACAGCAAAAGTAAGAATGGGTCTAAACTCGTTGTTTTTAGGGTAAATTCTGACCAAATACGATTCACATCTCCAAAATATTCCATACTCCTTGAATATGCTTTTCCAAATGTTTTATAACATTAACTACATCAAAACCTTATGCGTCAAAACCAGTGGCGGATCTAGGAAATTAATAGGGTAGGGGCACGTTGGATGGGACTTGAGGGAGGCAAGCATATGACCATATGGGACTGAGGGGAAACCATATAAGACGAGGGTAAAAATAAAAAATTTAAGCTAGTTAACAAACGTTTTTGGTTTTTGACTAAGGGCCTCCCCCCTCCCCTCCGGTCCTTAAAGGCTAGATCCACTCCTGGTCAAAACCTTCAAATATGCATGAACGCATTATTTATCATTTGAGATATCGAAGTACTTGATAAATATCCATTCTCTCAAATGTTATGCAAATCGTGTAACTAAGTACAAAATGGGTCAAATAGACTGTCAAAGTGTTATAACAACTCAACAAGAGGTAAAGTTATAAGATTTATCTATACTATATTATAAAGTATTTGACAAGAACTCTTAAAAACCATTTTTTATGCATGAAGTACTGTTTATTGATGCATATTACTTAAAGTTCAAGATTACAAGTAAATTGTGCGCAAGTACAACTTATTAAACATACTGCAGACAAACATAACTAAATAGAGAATGGACATCTCATTTTAAATATAAAAAATCTAAAATATAATTAAGATAATTATTGAGTTTTAACAAAATACTTAATTATTATCTTTATAAAAAATTTAATTATTAAACCACATAAAACCGTATTATAATATCGACAAAAACAAAAAAATAAATAAAACGAAACATTAAAAATCAAGATGTATTTCGTTGCATTGCGCGAGTACCTTTCTAGTTTTTTTAAAATGTCCAATTACCTAACAATATGGTTTTCCCTAAGTTATTATGATAACAAAATCACCCATAGCGCAACAAACTCAAATAAACATCACAATGTATAATAAACCATCAGAAAGCATTTTGAAACTCATCAAGATATTTTTGGTATGTATATAATTTTCACAAAATATCTTGAAATTCACTTTTCTAAGTTAGTGACATGAGCTTTTTGCACACCCTCAGACGTGTAACTAGGACCAAAAGCAAGTATACAATTAGTTCTAATATCGTCTTTGAAGTAATAAAGTGGTACAAATACCGAGTATCGTTCACAGAGATTGTAGTAAAAGCTTAATAAAAGTAGAATGAAAAAAATTATTTCAGATGGCCACTTTGAAGACTTTGATTGGTTGTTGAGTTAACAATTGCAAGTAACAAAATAAATAAAGGTACGATGGATAAAAGACTCGTGGTGAGACATAAACACAAATTCCAGCAAATAATGGTGTAGAGATGCTACAACAAGCAGTCAACCATAAATAGTTCTACCATTTATTTTGAGGGTATTCCTTCTGGACTTCACTATTGCACTAATGTTTAGATTTCAACTCATATTTCTATATGGTATCAAGACCCGTGATAATGCAAAATGGTGTCCTCAAAATATATGGATTAGCAAATTCCTTTATATAAAAATCATTATTTCGAGTTGATTCTCATATCATTCAAGTTGGTATGTTCTTAGTGGTTCATTCCTGAGTCCACTACACTTTAACACTTTGATAAGGGACTAAACCGTCGAGAAGAATCAATTGAAGAACATAGATGATAAATTCCTTTATCAGTAACTTTTCTTAATCTACTTCTCATATCATTCGAATTGACATGAATTCAGTGGTCATTCCTGAATCCATAGCACTTTAACATTTTCAAAGTGATCAACTTGTCAAGAAGTGTTTTTTGGCTTTATAAAACTTGAATGAAATAGTGAAACATTGTTATTGCTAACCAACGTCCACTTTTCTTCGGTTTAAAATCTCACCATTTGTCTCACACCCAAGCTAATGGAATTAACTACTCATTACAGAAAGTAAATTGCAAAAAATGTAAATAACAAAAAATAAAAACATAAATATAAATGATTAAAAGTAAATGACTTGAAAGTAAATAGTGGAAATTAAATGAATTGAAAGTAAAAATTTGAAATTAAATGACTTGAATGTAAAGAGCGGAATTAAATGACTTGAAAGTAAAGAGCAGAAATTAAATGGCTTGAATGTAAAGATCAAAAATTTAATGAAAAGTTTTTTGCTTCAAAGGCAGAAATGGAAGGCATGATTCAAACAAAGACTCTTACACCTCTATTTATACACAAATAGAGGGGCCAAAAAGGATAAGATAAAACTTGGGGCCAAAGTAATTAAAAAGTCGAACTAAAAATACTATAAAGTTTACTAGACTATTCAATCAATCATAAAAGATAATTAGCAGCCATGAATCTTTCAAAAGGTCTTTAGTTCGTGGTCTTCAAGCAACAAAACGTCCACCTAACAACTTAGTTCATTAAGCACTTCAAAAAGTTGAAAACTATCATATCCATGCTCCATGAATGCTATAGCACAAAACAGCTTGTGAACAAGTTCAAATTAGCCTTGCAATGGTGTAAAAACAAGTATTAGCTCCATAAATAATAAAGGGAAAAATAAAGTAATAAAAAAGTTTCAAGATTGAGATAAAAGAAAAAATAAGCTAGCTAAAAATTATAAAATGAGTGCTTTATACATTGAATTCTTAATATACATCAGTTAGGTTAAACCCAGTTTCCAGATCCATCTCTAGCTTCCAAAAGATGAAAAGTTGAATCCATAAGCACAGAAATTTTTAGAAATCTTCTCAATGCAACCCCTAGAAAGGTACCACACATTAACACAAACTTGAAATTCACCAAAAATCTCAAAATACCCAAAAGCTTACCTCTTAAGAACTTGAAAGATCCACGCTACATCCTTTCCAGTACTTAAGCTAGCTCTCCCCCAAAATGCCCCTAAAGAGCTTCCAAATGCTCCCAAAATCGCTATAAGATGAGAGGAAATGAAAAGGGGAAGAAAAATGAGTCAAAACCCGAAAATCGGCCCCTTTAAAATAAATCAGATCGTGCCAACGACCCTTAGGTTGCGAGCTAGGCCGCCCGTGCCAAACCTCATAGCATGCGACCTTAGCTGCAACTTAGGTTGTAGGCCTAGTCACCGACCTTTCTGTCCAGGACACAACTCTAGCCGTGTATGCAATCTTGGTTGCAATATCAGGCCAAGGGCCAAGTTAAGTGGAGCCCACACTTGGTAGAAAACTTTCGATTTTGGATTCTGATCTACACTCCCAATATTTCCCCTGGGAACCTATGTCTATAATTTCCCCTTACACCCATTTATCCAATTTTTATGTCTGCATACCGACACACATATGTTGATGACCTTGATCTATTTGTTTTGGGAGTGTAGAGTGCCTGTTAATGACTAACGATGATTATAGAACCTAATGAGCTTTGATAGAGAACACACCCTCTTTACATAATTAAAGATGCAGTTGTTCTGACCTTGAGATTCATGCATTAAAGATTGAGAGCCTTTATTTGACAACTTAAACCATGGTTTCTTGTAAAATAAAGAAACCGGTTTGCTACTTCTATTAGTTATAAAACTTTGAGAAAAGGAAAAAAAATTCCAACGCTTTCTTGATTCCATCACTGTGCATTTTAGAATTTTTGCAGTTTGGTTTGCGGCTTTGAATTACTCAAGTCGTGGTTCAAACCGCATTGCATATTAATATATATATATATATATATATATATATATATATTATAGACTTGGGATCATGTGAGACCAGCCTGTTTTCGTGAGACCCGTGAGACCAACATTTTACACTTGAAACTTCACAGCAAAATGCTGTGAAGGTGACTTTTTAAAACCTTCACAGTGTTTTTGCTGTAAAGGTTCGACTTTTTTTAAACCTTCACAGTGTTTTTGCTGTGAAAGTTACGTGTAAAAATGTGGTCTCACGGGTCTCACGAAAACAGGCTGATCTCACGTGAACCCAACCCTATATATATATATATATATATATATATATATACACATAATTATATATTATATTTTATTAATTAAAAAATATTTATTTTGACTAATTAAATTACTAATAGTGCATTAAGGTAGTAACTAATAAATAGAGTAATTTATAAATTTCATCCCTATGGTTTCGTGAAAGTTGTGAAGAAGGTTTCTAAGTCCACCCCCTTCACTATCTCCGACACCCCCTGCCTCCACCATTTTCGGCCTCCATCACCCCTTCACCATCTACGGCTTCCCTTATCTTTTTCAAAGCTCATTATGATATACCTATTCATCCCGAGATGAATACCGATCCCAAATCCTTTTCGAAGCGGTTTCTAGATCCCAGAATAAAAAATGGCTCTAAAATTCCATGTTTTTTTCTCGACAATGGCTATGGTTTGGAATCAGGTGTCGGTTAGCTCAAAGATTTGTTTATTTGGTACTCGCCAAAAGTTATTATAAGTTCATCGAATGTTGCGGAACACCAAGGATGAAAATTCAGATGCTAAAGTTGTCGACTTACCTGGTTTGTAAAGAAACACCTATTGACAATATGAATACATTTCAAACTCAAACTCAACTATCTCCAACTTGAAGCAGATTCGAAGCAAACCCAGAAGAAGGGGATTCACCGATGTGGTTACAGTGCAACAATGTTGAGGGTTTTATGGTTTACACAAAATAAAATACTCAAACCTCATATGTTAAAAGAAAGAGAGGGACTAAAATCGAAGGTGTAGAATAGTCCAAGGTTATTTATGTAAAAAAGAAGAAGAATATCCAAGAACCCCTTCAAGTGGGTTAACTTATTAGGGTCTGCCTTACGCGTGTCCGTGAGAGATGCACCACCAGACTATTTCAGACCCAGAAACCGCGTGATAAAGCCAAGGATCTTTATATATCTCTCTCTTCATCCTCACACTGAACAACTATCAAACAACAAATTTCAAGGTTTGCTTCTTAATTTCACTTCCATTCTTCATCAAAACCCTGTAATCTGATCATTTTTACATATGTGTTCAGGTTTAACTCCTGTTCACCCTAAATTCTTCTTCAAGATTTCTTGAAATTTCCCTAATTTGATCATCACAACAAGTGGGTATCTCTCTCTTTGTTGGGTTTATTGTGCTTCGATCCTTCAAGAATGGCACATTGTTTCTGATATCTCTAAAGAATGCACAATCTTGATTTCAAGAAACAGTTCATATCAGTGATTTTATGTCAAATGTCTTACAAAATAGCACTTATAAATTCATATAAAAGTGACATTTTTCAACTCCAAGGGTTTGTGCTCTATCTAATTTTGTGGGTCTGAGCTTATTTCAGAGTGATTTTGGCCCTAAGATTGAAATCAGGGCATAGAGATGCTTAGTGTTTTGTGTATCTTTCAGTAATCAGACTTAATTGTGGAGTCACTGCTGATTATGGTTTTTGCAATGGTGGGAAAGTTGTATATGATTAAAGTAAAGATTTTAGCAACTCATTTGAGGCTTTCTTTTTGTGAGAATCTTCTTTCTTTATATCTTTGCTCCCTTTTTATCTTTATATCACTTTAAATCTCTTTTTCTTGGTTATTAAGCTATCAAGATAAAGCTGTATGCTTTTATTGTTTCTTGCATCAAAATGATTGATGATTCTTAAACCCATTATGACATTGTGAAAGTGTGTATGATCTTTGCATTTCAGATAGAAGTAGATGTCATTTCGTAGCATAGTTCGTGATTTAAGAGATGGGATTGGGAGCTTATCTCGACGGGGGTTTGATGCGAGACTTAACCGTGATAAATCACAGAATGCGGTTAATGAATTGGATGATCACCCAATTCTTGTAAGCCATTGGGATGGTCTCCCTCCTGAGCTACTTCGGGATGTGATTAAGCGGTTAGAGTCAAGCGAGAGCTGTTGGCCTGCTCGTAAGCATGTTGTTGCGTGCGCGGCTGTTTGTAGGTCGTGGAGGGAAATGTGCAAGGAAATTGTTAGCGGCCCTGAATCCTCAGGGAAGCTTACGTTTCCGTTCTCTCTTAAGCAGGTAGTTGATCCTTTATTGGTGGTGTGTTTGTGTTTGAATTATTACCGTATCTATTTGTTCTGCAAGCCGGGGGTCTTTACAGAAACCGCCTCTCTACCCTTTGGGGTAGAGACAAGGTCTGCATACATCTTACCCTCCCCAGACAGACGTTACCCATGTGTGAGATTTATTTCATAACAAGGGTACACTAATGACTTTCCTTGATTGTAAAATGTTGAACAGCCGGGGCCTCGGGATACCTCCATTCAATGTTTCATCAAGAGAGATAATTCTAATTCGACATATTATCTTTATCTTTGCCTTAGTAGTGGTAAGTCTTATCATGATTAAGCATTTCTTGATATTTTTGTATTTAGTTACGTCGTTTCCAGTTTCGTTGTAGCTTGTTGACTTACGTTATGAGTTTGTAGCTATCTTGCATCTTATTAGTACTCCCCGACTCCGAAAAGAATTCCACTGCTTGAGTTGGTATGCGGTTTAATATAAGTGTTCTACTATGGTTAAATGTCAAAAATGTCCTTCAGTAACAACAAAATCGAGGTAAGCTTGCGCAACATAATGAATAAACCAAACCAAAACGAACCTAAGATATCCCACACAGAGGTAGGGTCTCGCCCCAAAGGATAGAGGGGTTGTTTCTATGAAGACCCCCGACTGCGAAACAAATATACGAGGAGATAAGTGAGAAAAGTAATGTAGGAGTGTGTATCATGTATCCATAGCTTGAAAGTTCGCCAAAACGGAAATGTTGTAACAAAAATTAGGGGAGGAGTGCAGCACGTCAACCGGCAAGAATTTTGAAATTGCGGACCAAAGGCTCATTGACCAAGTGGTATACAGGTTTATAGGTCCTCCCATGAGGTCAAGGATTCAAACGTCACCAAAGTTGAGGAGTGCGCGTGCATATAAATATTATATACTTCAAATTTTTGTTTTGACTTTACTGTCATTGCTTAATTTGAAAATCTGGATTTGTTTCCATCGTATGCTATTAAGGTTTATGAATGATTTTGTTGCATTTGCAGCGTTGGTGATAGAGAACGGGAAGTTTCTTCTTTCAGCCAAACGGAGTAGGAGAAGTACGTGTACAGAGTACGTGATTTCGATGGATGCAGATAACATATCTAGGTCAAATGGCGGTTACATCGGAAAAGTGAGGTAAATATTTTGATACCCCATGATTCTATCGGTGAGCTTAAGATTAAATCATAGTAAACAAAACACCTTGGACCCACGATGGCTGAATAAGTAACGCGACATAAGTGATTGTTTGGTCAACGAAAGTCAACCGTTATATTTACGGTGCTACCTAATGAGGAGAGTCCGGTTTTGATTTTGAAAACCCGAATCTTATCTTTTAGATATAAACCTTAGAGCATCCACAGTATGAGGTTAGCAAAAAAGTGGAGTTCGTACAAGTGTCCTCTTACTCCATAAGCGTGAATAGGGTAAGAGTCACCAGTGTCACTTACGGGGTAGGATTCTGGTTAGCAAAATGGCGTGGTAAAAGACCATCGGCTCTTACCCAGTAAGAGATGCCTCGTAGAATTTGATGAACTACTTTGTCCAAGACTTGATAAGGGCAAAATTGGGAATGTTACGAATTCAAGTCTTGGAGTTTAGAATTGAGAAAGATCGAGAGTTTTCGCCTTTTCTTGGATGGAAACGGTTATAAAACGCGCTATATTCTTATTGCATTTGTCCCAAACTTTCACCTCACTGTAGTTTCTAGAGTAAACTTCGATTTTCATCTCAATGGTTTGTTAAAAGTTTTGACTCTCGTCCCCGTGAAATTACGATTTCGTCCTTGAGGCTAACTCCATTGGTGGTTTACCATTAAGTATGAGGGATGAAAACGATGATGAATTGTAAGCCATAGGAACAAAAAAAACCCTTAATTTCAAAAGCACGAGACGAAAAATATAGTTTCATCTTTCAATTCATGAACTTTGGATTAATGTTTCTTGCTTTAGGACGATTACGTTAATGCTTATAACGAGAATATTACGGTTTTTCAATCATTCCAACATGTAGGTTGGTTGACGGGTTACAAGAAACCAATCAAATTTGTTGTAAACCGTAAACCGTAAACCGAACCGAACCGACCCTTTTACACACCCTACGTTTGGTGCTATTAGTTTTCTTCTTACATTTGTTATTGTTTAATGTCTACTGCCCTTATTTGTTGCCCTTTCGCATGCGCTCTTTTGCTTGTAATTTTTCGTCACAACTTTTATAAAGAAACAACTCTTCGACAAAAATTGTTTCTTAATTTTCTTTTCACAAGTCGGGGGTATTCTCGGAAACAACCGCTCTATCCAAGTATCCATTCGGGTAGAGAAAAGATCCTACTTCGAATGATATATATTTGAACTTATAAATTTCTCTTGATTTTCAGATCGAATTTTCTTGGTACGAAGTTCATAATTTACGACTCCCAACCACCATATAGCACTGCTGTCCCATCAGGTCGATTAGGCTCAAGTCGCCGCTTTTCTAGTCGGGTTTCTCCAAAGGTTCCATCGGGAAGCTTTAACGTAGCCCAAATCACATACGAGCTAAACGTATTGGGAACAAGGGGTCCTCGAAGGATGCACTGCGTGATGAATTCAATCCCCATCTCCGCCCTAGAGCCTGGCGGCACTGCCGTTGGCCACCCTGACCTCTTCCACCGCTCCTTTGAAGATTCATTCAGGAGCATCTCGTTCTCCAAATCAAGCCAGTTCGGCAGCGCTCGTTTTTCAGACCCGGGCATCGGCACGAACGACGTACAAAATCGGAAAAACATGCCGTTGGTTTTGAAGAACAAACAGCCAAGATGGCATGAACAGTTGCAATGTTGGTGCCTTAATTTCAAAGGAAGGGTAACAGTTGCCTCTGTCAAGAACTTCCAGCTGATGGCGGCTGCCGCTTCCCACGCGGTGGTGTTGCCGCCACAAACCACCTCCCAAGCCCAACCGCACGATAAGGTAATTTTGCAATTCGGTAAAGTTGGAAAAGACATATTTACTATGGATTATCGGTACCCGTTATCGGCGTTTCAAGCTTTCGCCATATGCTTGAGCAGCTTTGACACGAAATTGGCTTGTGAATAATCGAAAGGTTCGGCTTTTCTTTAAGTTTGTCGTAAATTCCTATTTAGTGTAACGACGAATTTCTTTTCCTCGATTATTGTAACAAACGTTCAATTCTTTCTTTTCATACACATTTTGGTCGATAACCCAGTAGACCATTAATGACGTGGATTAGGGCTACACACGGGTTGGGTTGGCCGGGTTGAAGACATTCGAATGACCCAACTCAATGTTTGTAGTTTGAAAAATATCAACCTAACCCAAACGAAAGTACAACATAACCCAACCCAAACTGTCCAAGTTTGGTGGGGTTGAAACTTTGATACATCATTTTACAATCTAGCTAAGCGATTGTGTTTAAATGAAGTAAAATTAAAATGAGAACATAAAGTAAGGCTAACAAACTCAAAAGAAAAAAGTTGGAAGATTCATGCAAATAAGAAAGTTAAATTAAGGTTGAAATTTGTGGTATGATTTTGAATAGAGCTAATTACGGGTTGGTCTAATTTTTCGATATAGATATATTAATTAATGACTTAACAATCATATTAAATCCATGATATAGAAAGATGCCGGGATAATTGGGATGGGTTGGTTTCATATCGTCGTAACCCAATCTCACTCATTACCTATGGTTTAAAGATTTTACAACTCGATTAAGTATCGAATCCTTTTGGATTGGATTGGTCGGGTTAGTCAGGTTTTTGTGGCTGAAAGCCCATTTATCTGTACGAATAAAAATGTTTGTATCAGTAGTTGAGACAAAAAATTTATCGTTACATTAAATAAGAACTAAAACAAACTTTGTTACATGTTGATCCATCAAGAGGATGTTTTTCATTCTTAATTTGTAACTAATTTGGTTTTGTTTTCTAGCCACAGGTATTTGTTGCTATAATGCTTTTTTTTAAGTGTATAATATTTATATTTAATAAATACGTATATATTTTTGTAAAACCGGATTCTATCTAGAACTCGTTATCGTTTGGTCAATGACTCTTTAATTTGTTACTATAACGATGTTGGCCAACTTTGTTGTGGATCGGAGAATTTAAGTTTCAATTTGTATTTTTATTGGAAAAGTCTAAAATATTCAATAAACTTTCGTATTTTGAATGGTTTAGTCGCTAAACTATTTTTTGGATGAAAAAATCTTTAAACTTAATCATTTTGAATGATTAAGTTTATAAACTATTTTTTTGAATGAAAAAATCATTAAATTTTCACATCTTGAATGATTAAGACCCTAAATTTTTATTAAATAAATAAATGATCTAACTTTTGTTAGTCGGTTAATATAACATTTTTTGGGTTAAAAGAATGTAGGTAACCAATTTTTAAAAATACGATGTTTTTTTAAATGTTCAGGGCCTTAATCAAGCAAAATAAGAAAGTTTAATGATTTTTTCATTCATAAAGAAGTAATTTAATAGTTTTTCATTCAAATAAATAGTTCAGATACTTAATTATTTAATATAAAAAAATTCAATGATTTTTTATTAAAAAAAATAATTCAGAGTCTTAATTATTGAAATTGATGATTGTGTTTTTTTGAACTTTTATCTATTTTTATATAATTTGCATTTTTTAAATTGTTAAATTAGATAAATTTAAAATGGATCGGGTTTAGAATTCCAATCGGGCAAATCCCGGAGGCAAAAATAGAGGTCAAAGTCAAAGGTATATATATATATATATATATATATATATATATATATACATACAGAGTTGGGATCATGTGAGACCAAGTCTTTTTGGTAAGACCCGTAGACTAATTATCAACTTTCGGATTTTTAGAAAAAAAAATCCATTAAACTCGGCTTTCCGCTATAGTAAAATCGGGTTCATAGAACGTTAAAAATGTCAAAAAAAATTAAAGTAAACTATACTTTTCGCTCATGTGAGAAAAAATGACATTTTATTTTAAAATAAATGTTTTGAAAAGCCTATTAAAAAGTCCAAAAACATCTTATAAATTAAACCATACTAGAAGGGTATTCGCACAATGCAGCGAGATATATCTCGATTTTAATGTTTCGTTTTATTTTTTTTGTCTCGGTCGATGTTATAAAAAATTGAAAAAAAAATTGATTTTAGTACCAAAATGACTTTAAAATTTCTCTTTTTTGTGTGTATTTCTTTAATTTATATTTTTGGTTTAATAATATAATTTTTATAAAGATAATAATTAAGTATTTTGTTAGAACTCAATGATTATCCTAATTATATTTTAAATTTTTATATTTAAAATAAGATGTTTATCTTCTATTTGATTATGTTTATCTATAGTTAGTTATACAAATTCAAACATGAAACTTTAATAAGTTGTACTTATGCAAAATTTACTTGTAATCTTGATTTTTAAGTAATATGCATTAATAAACAATACTTCATGCATAAAAAATGATTTTTAAGAGTTTTTGTCAAATGCTTTATAATATAGTATAGATAAAGCAATGTAATAAGACACTTGGACATTTTTTTGTTGAATAAACTTAATTTTGTTATATTGTTGTAGAACGTGGCCTTGTGCATATCCATGGACGGACCACCTATAGGACATACTGTGGCATGTGCAACCGTATTATTCTTCCGTCGAAGGGTAAAAAAAAATTAATTCGTGAAAAGTGCGACCGTATTAATTTGTTGTGTGTCACCGTATGTATTTTGAAACTACAATGAGAACAAGTCTTATTTTATAGAGTTGGTTTGCAAGACTTTTATTCACCGCAGACGCAAGTTCGAATCCTATCAGTGTCATTTTCTTAGTCAAATAGTGCCACCTTTGAAAAAAAATCCGTATATTTATTTCTTATAGTGAAATGGTGCCATCATTTGGAAAAAATTCTGAGTAGGCATATCTAATCCAAAAAAGCAAGCATGTATCTCTTCACATTATTTAATAATCAAATTATCAGTATTCTAAAATTAGAGGCAACAATTTATGATGACCAAAATGATCGATTCAACCATGATGATATATAGCAAAATTAGTGTGTTTGTACATATATATATACATATACATATATATATATATACATATATATATATATATATATGATAATATGATCAATCGTTTAGGTACATGATAAACTTATCTGTATCCATAAAAAATGGAGTATCTATGATGTGAAGAACCATGAATTCATCTGACTTACCCTTTGGGATGGTGATGATGGTGGTGGTGGTGATGATGATGATGGTGGTGGTGATGATGATGACAGAGTGAGAGAGGTGAGCACCTCGTATGAAAGCATCTTCAGTTGAAGTAGTGGTGCTGCATATGAACTGGTTTTTGCAGCTTCAGATCATCAACATCTCCAAGCTGCTGCATGTGTTTCATGGACGCTTCTGATGGATACATGAGTATATATGTTTGCTTTCCTCCCCACCTCAATCTCACCACATACATACATATACATATATATATATATATATACATATATATATATATATACATATACATATATATATATACATATACATATATATATATATATATAGAGAGAGAGAGAGAGATGGGGGTTGGGTTCCGATGAGTATGGAAGTTGTGGTGAGAAGGGATATTCACCTTTGAATCAATCTTAATTGAAGATCAACAGTAATGAGATGCAACGGATCAATTCCCGTAGAAGCACAGTTAATGGGTGGGCAAAGAATTAAAAGTAATCAAGGGTGGAAATCTCTTCTTATATTTTTCATCTTAACTCTTTTTCTCACAAAACAATAAAAACAAGGGCACTTTGGTACTTTACCACTACTTAACCGAAATAACAATTTTTTTGTAACTTTGTTAGCGAGTTGGTGGGAGGGACCTTAGTCATAAAAAATCGACAACCACCAAGACCAACTCCACAATTTTTCGAGTTTTGGGTGATAGTCATATTTTCTGTTAAATCACAGGGACCAAGTCCACATATCACTCCAAATATTTTCGAGTAAATTACATGTCCAGTCCCTGTGGTTTATTTGTTATAACATATCAAGTGAAATAATTATGGATTATAGCCCTATGGTTTACAAATTCTTAACATATTAGGCATTGGCTCTAACTCGGTCTTGAATATTCAGTTAAGTGAAAAATATAGAGGGGCATTTTGGTCATTTCAAATATTATCCTTATTTTATATTTTTAAAAAATAACATTTTCAGAAAAACAATAAAAAATCACGCCTCTAGACTGCAACCAGATCGTAGATTCATGTTCTTCCCTATGAACTTATTCTGGCGTACACCACTGTAATACCCAAGAACTTCTAATAGTAAGACACAAACCGACTGTCATACACACCGTGATACCCAAGATATCCAAGAACTTCTAAAACAGTAAGATAAAAATCTACTATGATATTGTTCTGAATATGGGTTGAGACCACATCTGATACAACTGTCCTTCAACGTCAAAACTTTCTCCATACTTGTGACACAAATCCACTGTGATACCGTTAGTAAGACGATGGGTTGATACCACTGTGAAACCCATTTTGATACAGACGTCCTTCAACGTCAAAACCTTATGGTCATCTCTAGTTAACGTCTCCTTCAAACTTTCTCCATACTTGTGCAGGAAAACATTGTCTACGATAAACAACACCAACATTCTTCACCTTATAAGGCTCCGTGTGGCGGGCAGTAACAAATCTAATTGCTGCCTTGGCTGTAAACAGCGGTTGGCCATTACCGTCATCTGCGTTAAGCATTGCAGCAAGGAGAACGCTAATGCCAGCACCGACAATAATGTCGAAAAAATCAACAATACGAGAATCATAATTACTGGTTTTCACTTGGATATGGTCTTTGTCGGGGTAGTTCCACCACCATCAATGCTAAGAATTCACATCTTCCTACGCCTTCACGTTGATTCAACCATTGTTGCTCAAGCTTCGAGAATATCTCCAAGGTAACTTTACTAATCTCCATTTCCTTACTTTGATCGATTTTTCTTTCAAACTTGAATAAGTTTGTCGAGAAAAATAAGGAAACATAATCTTTAATGGTAACTCTTAAAACAAAAATAATAATAACAGACTACTAAAATACCCTTACATATTAATTAATTAAATATAATAAATTGATTGGCACATTGGATCTCACGTTTATCACAAACTATCAAGTTCTCATTTGATT